AAATGTAAAAAACATAATCATTATGCAGTATGCTGTACAGCAAGGAGTGTAAGAGAAATAGAGACAGAAAGTTACGTAGATGAAAAGGAGTACAACAGAAATCTCGTAATAGATACTATTGAAGAAGTCAACGGGATAGAAGAGCAAAATCTAAAAATCTGGAAAGAGCAGATAAAAGTCAACAACGTACCCATTGACTTTAAACTGGATACAGGTAGTGAGGTGAATATAATCCCACTGACATTCTACAAAAGGATGAGTCAACCTCCAGAAGTAGAAAAGACTAAGAAGTTCTTAGTAACCTACAACAAAAATAAAATAAATCTATTAGGAACATGCATTTTGGAGTGTAAACATAAAAATAGCATCAAAGAATTGGAATTCTTCATTCTTGAAGATGATTTGGAACCAATACTTGGCTTACAAGCAGCCACACAATTGAACCTTATAAAAAGACTAGAAGAAATCCAAGTTAAACATAGCAATAACTCCCCAGAAGACCTGATTAATAGCTATAGAGATGTATTTACAGGTCTAGGTTGTTTTCAAAAGAAATTTAAGATACATCTACAGGAAAACGCAGTACCACAGATTGCTAGATGTAGAAAAATTCCATTAGCGTTACATAAATCAGTTAAAGAAGCATTGGAAACTCTAGAAAAACAAGATGTTATTCAGAAAACTGAAGAAGCAACAGACTGGCTTCATGCTATCGTGATCACAGAAAAGAAGGATGGTTCAGTAAGAATATGTATGGATCCAAGACCACTCAATAAATACATAATTAGGCAAAGACTGGAATTACCAACAATTGAGTCAGTTTTTGCCAACATAAAGGATGCTACATGGTTCACGGTATTGGATGCATCTAGCGCATTCTATATGGATCCAAGACCACTCAATAAATACATAATTAGGCAAAGACTGGAATTACCAACAATTGAGTCAGTTTTTGCCAACATAAAGGATGCTACATGATTCACGGTATTGGATGCATCTAGCGCATTCTACCAAATACCACTAGAAGAAGAAAGTTCTTTATTATGCACCTTCTCAACACCATTTGGGAGGCTTCCTTATGGGATTTCTTGTGCACCAGAAATATTTCAGTTGTATATTAATGATCTCATCGTGGGATTAGATGGGACAATAGCATACTTCGATGACATCCTGGTATATGGCAAAAATATACAGGAACATAACCTTCGACTGAAAAAGTTGTTGGACAGAGCTAGAGAAGCTAATATACGATTTAATAAAAGTAAACTACAGCTAGCCACAAAGAATACAACCTTTTTGGGTTTTGAATTATCTGAACGTGGTGTTGAAATCGAAAATAAGAAAATTGAAGCTATTCAACAGATGACGAGACCTACCAATGTCAAAGAGGTTCAAACATTTTTGGGCACCATAAATTTTCTTAGCAGATTCATTGAAAATGTGGCCCAAGAAACTGCACCTTTGCGAATGCTTTTAAAAAAGGACACAGAGTGGACGTGGACTGAAAATTGATCCGAAGAAAGGGCATTCCAGAGACTGAAAATCCTAATTGCAAAGGCTCCTGTCTTGAGATATTTTGATCCTACTCTACCTGTGATTCTTAACACTGATGCTAGCCAATTTGGATTGGGAGGATATATATCACAAAAAGGTCACCCAGTAGCATATTGGTCTACTTCGTTGACTCAAGGCCAACGCAACTATGCCCAAATAGAAAAAGAACTATTGTCGGTGGTAATGTGCCGTGAAAAATTCCATTTTTACTTGTATGGCAGACCATTTGTGGCAAGAACTGACCACAGACCACTACTAGGGCTAGTCAAGAAACCAATTGAGACATTATCACCCCGACTCCAAAGACTTGTCATCAGACTTCTGAAATATGATGTATCTCTAGAGTATATACCTGGAAAAGAACATTACTTACCTGACCTGTTATCCAGAAAACCTATGGAAAAAACCGAAAATACAGATTATTTGGATCAAAGAGTTATAAGATCTATCATTTTAGTGTCTAAGGAGAAAGAAGCAATTCTAAAAGACAGCATAGGAAAAGATGCAGAAATCGAAATGCTCCGACACTACATTAGAAACGGCTGGCCTGAACACTTAACATCAGTGAAGAAAATTGTAAAAATCTTACTATCCCTACAGAGATGAGATTCATGAAATTTATAATTTCGTTTTCAAGGGACAACAGCTTATAATACCGGCGAATCTGCGTATGGAAATGCTTGGTAAAATTCATCAATCTCATCAAGGCATCATAGCCTGCCAAAGGAAAGCACAACAAGCCATATTTTGGCCAAATATCAACGAACATATAGCACAAACAGTATCTTCCTGTTTGACGTGCCTACAGTACAGTAGAAGCAATGTCAGACAACCCCTGCAGAACCATCAAGTACCAGAATTGCCATGAGAGAAGATAGGAATCGACTTCCTCCCTGTAAAAAATATCAACTACCTTGTAATCTGCGACTACCACTCAAAATTTATAGAACTGGTTGAAATGTCAAGAAAGGATGCTTCATCAGTTATACAAGCTTTACTGTCTGTGCTCAAATCACATGGAAAAGTGTTGACTATCATGTCAGACAATGGACCACCTTTTGACTCGATTAAATTCAAACAGTTTCTGAAAGAATTGGACATCTCTTATACCACGTCGAGTCCGTATCATTCCCAGTCCGATGGAATGATCGAAAGAAATATACAAACAATCAAAGGATTGATCAGCAAGAGTGACAAACACCCTTACTACCTGGTAATGGAATACAATGGGACTCCCAAGCAATATCTGCCATCACCAGCTGAAATGCTTAATGGGAGAAAATTCAGAGGAAATGTACCCCAAAGTAGAAGTACATTGAAACCCCTGTTTGACATTGGCAAAACGTTAGAAATTCTAAATTGACAGCAGTTGGCAGAAGCAGCAAGCTACAACAAGAGTAAAAAGCCCCTTAGCCAACTCCAAGAGTCCCAACAAGTAGTTATCCAACAGGCTTCCAGAAAATGGGTTCCTGGTCAAGTAATCCGACAACATGAAAGCCCTGAGAGTTATGTTGTGAGGTCAGAAGATGGAGGGGTTTACCGCCGAAACAGAGTACACCTAAGGCCAACCATTTCCCCAAAGTCCGTGCCAGATAGTAAATCTGAGTCCGACCGTGAGTCAACTGACCAACAGCTTCTGCCCAGAGTCAACTGTCTTCCCACTACAAGTAGACAGTCAGAGCTGCCCAGTGAACCAAATAGGCAGTCCGAACCGCCTTGTACACCAAGGACTATCAGCAGGCCAATATCGTCCAGTCCCAACCATACAAGAGTAACTTCTAGAGGCCGGGTCATAAAAACGCCAGTGAAGCTTAAAGACTTTTTGTAGATTACTTGTAAAGTATTTTTCATTCAAACTTAGTTGTCAATTAAAAAAGGGAGCATGTCATTAGACATGTGTTCCGTGTTCAGTGTGTCTGTCAAGTTATTATACATGATCTGTCAAAGATAGTGTTATGACAATTTGAATAAATACATTCAACAATACTTTATTATCACATAGCTTTGTATAATACAAAGCACATAGTTAAGAAATAACTATATAACACTACAAACTTCAATAGTGAAAGTTTGTCAACAATTCAGTCCATCAAAAATATATTGAGTATCATAACGAAAACAGATTCTATCCACAGTGTTATTTTTCTCAGCGTAGCCATTGTCTAAGACAATGGCGTAGTGTACAAATTTGAATCACTACCTGTGCTATTTTTCTCAGTATATCAATCGTATCTCTGCCAATGCTGTGACGTATTTCCTCTGAATATCTTGTACAACCTACATCAAAGGGTTCGACAAGGCATTCGCCTCTTGGTAGTTGGTGTACTCTTTGGTCTGGACACAGAATACCGCTGGACCTCAATCCTCCGCACTAAAAACGCTCAAGCATGAATCAAAGTTATAATTTCAAAAAGCTTGAACATTAGCCATTTTCGATTGACGTTTGGTATTATTAGTGGTTCAGTGGTTGACAATGGTTAAAAATGACGCTTTATAACTGTAAGTTTCATGTCAACCGCTTACGAAACTAACGTCAATCGAGAACGACTCATGGTGGCGCCTTCCCTCTGCAATGAAATTTGAAAACTGGCATATATTATATTAGGAACTAGTTAAGAATAAGATCAAGAAAATGATCATTTGAAACATCAAAACTACCCCCTTCCATAATGTCGGTCCAAAAAGACCCCTAGATACCAATTTTGAATGAAATCATGATTTCTAATCAGGAATATCTTCATATCGGACCTCAAAAACCGTACCGCTTGTTTATGAAATCAGAGAATAAATCACAAATTTCTTCATCTGATTATATGAAGCAGAGTTCATTAGTTTTGAAAATAACATTTATCATTGTTATGAATTAGTTATTCATATAAAATAATTCAATTTTAACACAGTAAACCACACGCTTTATTATAGAGCCATGCATAAATGAAAATCTAGTAGGTGGTAGAAAAACTGGCCTCATTTCCATAATCATTAATAATAAGTCAGATTTCGTGTAGGAACTATTTGAACAGAATACATTTTCACCTGAAATGATTTATTTTATAAATATAAACTATCCCTCCGATTATCAACTAAACCAACCGCCACTGTTTTATGGTCCAACTTACTTTCTGTAAACAAACAAAGTTATGCTGCCTTCAATGTAAGGATGGAAAAGGCCTCTCTATTGTCTTTTGTTACTCTGAGACTGCATTCAATTTTTCAATTGTCAGCTGTCAGCTTCGAGTGCTGTCCACTGTCTCTTCTTCTTTCATATTTTTTCAATATTGATTATTTGTAGAAAATTCCGCTATTTTATGTTCAAATCCGCTACGCCGCTACCGTCGAGTAAATTCCGATAGGGTAGCGAATTCCGCTACCGTTGGCATCTCTGATACCAGGTCTGAGACTTAGTCATCCCTTGATGAGTATTGGTAACACTGCTCTTGTAATTCAGAATTCACTGTTTAGTGTCACGTGTATCAAATTTTGACTCCACGTTTTACTTCATGATATGTACATATAAATTGGGATCTACTGTTGCTGTCACATATTGCCACTGTCGATTTATCAATTGGTTCATTCACTAGGACATTCAGGGGCAAAGGTCATAACTGTTTCAAGTTAATACTGTGAGTGTGGCTTGTGTAAAAATATCGAGAGGCCGTTTTGATTGATAAAATTATCATTGTAGAAAATGGCCCCACTAGTCGCTGAAAAGCCTGCAGACCATAGTAATGTAGCAGATGGAATAAGAGCTGTTCTTCTGGGTCCTCCAGGATCTGGGAAAGGAACAATGGTGAGCCTTAATGTACTTTCCAAGATTGCATCAATTGATCAAACTAATTTCTGGAAATCACTTACAGGCCCCATTATTGAAAAAAAAGTATTGTGTTTGTCATCTTTCAACCGGTGATATGTTACGAGCCGAAATAGAGTCAGGGTCTGTGCTCGGAAAGAGACTTAAGAAAGTTATGGATGAAGGAAAACTTGTCAGCGACGATCTTGTCGTTAATATGATCGACAAGAATTTGGACAAGCCAGAATGTCAAAACGGATTTCTTCTTGATGGATTTCCAAGAACGGTCGTACAAGCAGAAAAGGTAACTTGAAGATGTTTGTTTCGAAAGCTCGCCTCAGTTTTTGAAGGAATTTTACTTGGACTGAACTATTTTTGTTTGCTGATCACGAATCTGAACTCGAAACATGTCACTTCAATCTACTTTAGGAGGTGAAGCCACATAAAGGTCAGAACTTTCTTCCAGTAAAAAAAACTCTTAAAATGACACCTTCTCTTCAAGATCACATATTGTGAAGCCTCAGTCACTTGCTTGATGTCATTTTTTTTATAATTGTAAACTATATAATGCTATAAATCCAGTTATTTACAAAACTAAATGACACTTTTTCATATATTCTGTTTATTGATGTGAAGTTGGCCATAGTTTTCTAGCCACACTTTCTGACTCAGGTGAACTCTTATGTCACCAGAGAACCAAGTAGTCCAATTCTTGTTGTAACCTTTGATGTCTCATATCACACTTTTACTTTTTTGGCTATTGCGCATCATATGATGTCCCGCCTGGATTCCATGAGTTGAATGTTTTCATAGTAACAATAACATACACTGCACAAAAGTGGATTCTGTGGAAAACTGCTGGATTGAAATTACATTAAAATTTCAATATTCAGTATTTACAGATTATATTTATAAACACTAACTAGGGCGGTAAGGATGCTTAATCACGTTGAATAAAAATTTTAAGTAGGTCTTGACAAACAAAATGCATGCTATGGTGGTGTCAAGTTGTTGATTTACTTGTCAAATTTTCAACAGTTATTTTTGCAATAATGTTGTCTCTTCAGGAAAGAATAGAAATAGTTTTAATATGTGGTGAGAGTACACCATACCGGCAAGTAGCTTGCTCCTAACAACCATACGTTGTATGAAGTTATTGAGAATGACATCACGATAGTGAAGGACTGGTTTGACTCAAATCTCTTGAGCTTGAATTTATTCCTAAATTCCTTGGCCTGTTCATTGACAATAGTTTAAAATTCAACAATCATGTAGATACTTTGAAATCGAAGCTCTCCTCTGGATGTTATGCCATACGAGTAACTGCATTTGAGCTCGGATCTGCAGAAGCTAGAATGGTGTATCATTCCCTTTTTGAACCACACCTCCGTTATGGTATTTGCTTTTGGGGTGTGTGTTCTACCACATGCCTTCAATCAGTATTACTAATACAAAAATGTGCAATACGATGCATATGCAAAGCCAAGCCTAGGGACTCTTGTCGACCTCTTTTTGCTTCTAACAAAATCCTAACTGTGGTCTCCCTATTTATATACGAGACAATCTGCCTTGTCTTCAAAAATAGGGTATTGTTTAACAACTTGGACGCGCCAATGTATCAAACCAGGCAAAGATTCAGCTTTAAATTACCGCTGCCTTCTTCGTCGCTAGTTAAAGATTCCATTATTTACAACGGTCTTAAAATGTTCAATCACCTTCCTCAAGCTATAAGAACCATAAATGACTTTAGAGCTCTTAAGAAAGAGTTGAAAGACTTGCTCTCTGGGAGACCTTATTATAGCTTAGCAGAATTCTATGATGATAATTTTAATTGAGAAGACTAACTGTAATATCTACGGTATTTTATTGATTTCATTTCATTTAATTTAGTTTAAATTGATTTATTTACATTTTGTTGACCATGTTCTTATATCCTGAACGTTTGTTATTATTTATATGTCTCTTTTCAGTTCATGTTATAACCTACTTTTAGTGATTTTACTTTTGTGATTTCATGTATATGTTATTTATATTTCGCACAAGGCTTTGTCAATAATAATTTATTCTTCAGACAATAAAGTATATTAAAATAAAAATAAATAAAATGCCACCCAGGAAAAAATGTTCAACATACTACTGTGTCAAGGATAATGTCGAAATTCAGAGACACAGGATCCCCCTATTCCCTATTGCGAATGTGAGTGGGATATCCAAACTGAACCGACTCACTTCCATATTCTCAGCAGAAGCAATTGCTATCGGCAAAGCACTTGAATATATTAAATCTATAAAAATACAATAATAATATCTGACTCACTGTCTGTACTAAGAAAAATATCACAGCCTATCAAAATACATATCAGCTCAGCTCGCATTTTTTGAACTTTTTATCAGCAGGCTGCATGAAGCAAATTTAGAAATCAAGTTAATGTGGATCAAAGCTCACGCAGGCGTATTAGGCAACAAGAAAGTAGATGAATTGGCAAAGGCAGGCATCGTAACAGGACAACGCATTGAAAATTAAAGTGGCGCTGAAGAATGTCTAAACTTGGCAAAGAGTAAGTTCAAGCAAAATTGGGCAACAGCATGGAATGAGTATTGTAAAAACTCTGCTACACAGTATACCCGTTTAGTACCAAAAATCCCAGCGGATATATGGCAAGAAAAATGAAGTATGGACGAAAAACAACTGTCACAATAAGCAGACTGAAATTCGGATATGCATGCTATCCAGCTCATCTTTAAAAAATAGGAATCGTTGATTCAAACAAATGTGCTACATGTAACGTAATATATGATATTGATCGTATATTTTATACCACCATAATACCACCTTTGAGTATACTACGCTCTCTACCACTGAACAAACCACCAATTATAGATGCTGTGATGAAATTCGTGAATGATTGTAACCTGAAGTAGACGAGACTTGATTTGATTTCTGTGTGCACATGTCCCTATCCTTAACATCTTTCTTTCGCGGTCTACCTGATCGTATTCTTACCTTGATCTACCCCTGGGTGTGAAAAGTAATATTTCAAAACCCCTTTCTTTGTTTTCGCAAATTGAGAAAAAAAAAACCTTTAGTTGCTGGCTATTATGGACGTGCGTCCGACGGCCAAAAAAAAACTCCATCGCTAAGACAGTAGTGATCCATATTGACATGAGTTGTTCTCTCTGGTGTTTCGTCTGGGTCACAAGTTTCTCTTTTTAGAACTTTTGCCCAAGGGCACCGACTTTTTTGATTTTTTGTTTGAAATGTTACTTGTTCATTATTAAAAGAACAAAAAAGACTTGAAGTGTCTTTGTCGTATCTCGAATAGTTTATGAGTTATAAAGCCATAAAAACAGATTCAGGGGGTATTTTACTAAATAACTGTCAAAAAATTTGATAAATTATAGGGTAAGAGCATTTGTTTAAAATCTTTTTTTGTTTATTACTGAAAGGAGAACAAAAAATACTTAAGTGTCTTTGTCCTATCTCCATTAGTTTGAGTTATTTCAATAACAATAATTGAGAACCATGAGGAATTGCCAAACGCAAAAATAGAAAAATATT